CGGGTTTGTGGCTCATTCTTTAACTTTTGTTTTTCTCTGAGGTTATGTTTCCATCTGAAGCGAATTTAATTAAATAATATTACTTTTTGCAGTTACAATCTTCGTTCAATATCCTCTTCCGCTACTGCAGTAATTAAGGTAATCATTTAATAGAACATCACGCGAGGAAATACATTCTATTTGGGTATTCGATGTGTTTCTGACTTGCCTTTCCATGAGATAGGTATTGCTGGGTGAAAGTCCAGGATGCGAATTGGACAACACTTTACCTTCCAGATCCGGCCTGCAAACTGTTCTGGAGGTCCTTCAAATTCAAAATAAATACTGGCCTGCTTTGGGATCCAGCCTAACAAAATTTCAGTCACAATGTAGCATGTCCACTAATCAAAACAAAAGTGAGGATCTCTCTCTCCTTCCTTTGTATGGAGCTAGTTTAGCCGAGGGATCATATTTTTTCACATTCCTAAGTTCAATCCTTTATATCTTTGCCTGCAGAAAAACAAATAAAAAAGAGACGGCGGGCTTTGGCACCAATATGGTGGAAAGGGGGAAGGAAAACTCTATTGTATCGTCTTTTAAATGGGCATTTCCATCTGAAACGAAGGTGTCTGTGATTGTACACAGCTAGCTTCGGGATTGGGACGGTGTAGTTTTGGTCCATTTTTTTACACAGCTAGCTTCGGGATGATGTCATTTTTCTTTATCCATGATGTTTTAATCATATATTATGAGAATTTATAAATTTAATTTCAGAACAGCTCTCTCTCTCTCTCTTGCCCTTTGACGTTTTTTCTTGAACAGATCTAAACGGAAAACAATGTTTAGATTGCATATCCAGCAGCTTGCGGTTACAAATGCGTTTAACACCTATATGTTTTCCACACTTCCAACCCTAAACACAAATGCAGTCGATGCATGTAAGCAGAATTCGATTGCATACGAAACAAAAGGGGGCAGCCATTTATGGTTTTCACATCTTCCTACAAAAACGTGGATGGCATTTATGAACATCATCTCTGCTCTCATATATACAACGAGAAATGCAACTTCAAATTTGGAATGTTTTATGAAATAAAACATGATCAATCAATACTGCTACAGAAATAAATGTGGTGGATTCATGTCTCGTGATTTCTGCTCTGCCATGCTGTCTGCTTTCTGCTATGTATTATTATTCCCTTTTCAAATCCACTTGAGACCTGAAACTCTAACAATAAAGGAAAGAAAAGTGTTGTTGTTATTGGTGCATTGTTGGATGTGCCATTGGGTAAGCCACTGGCACAACATATGGAGGATGTGAATGGGGATGGTGCCCTGGAGGAAGCATGACTGGAGTGCCCATAGCGGATCCCATATGATGCCCTGGAGGAGCTGAAACTGGGTGCCCCATTGGTGCTCCATACATTCCTAAACCTGCCATGTGTGGCTGGTGAGCCCTGTGCTTCACCGACTGTGGTCCTACTCCTATGGTGGTGGCACCGGCCGCGGCGGCACTTGGCGCATATGTATTGGTCTGTTGCCCTGTAATTGGTGGCTGATGAGATGACACATCTCCATTGTTCACACTGGTAATGTCATGGATGCTTGATCTCCTCCTGTCTCTGTTCATGGAGTTCAAGCGGATGAAATATTTTTGTGCGTGGCTGGCCACTTGGGTTGGAGTTCTGGAAATCACAAAGTTCCTTGAAATGCTTCTCCAATCTCCCTTGCCAAATTTCTCAAGACCAAGTAGAAATAACCTGAAAATAAAAACCCACAAATCAGCCACCGTCAAGTGTCTCCACATAAAATCAAATACGAAAAAAACTTTCATTGCCACATGGGTTTTTGTTTATGAATCTGACTTGACCTAATTCCAATTTATAGGCAAGGCAAAAGCTCCCATCTCACCCAAAGCTTTTAATTTAATACTAATTAAAAAAAAGCTTCGGATTGCCTGGGAAAAAAGTAATAAAGATTAAGTCTTTAGATATGATATGATGAACAAGCAATATATAAAAGTACCTGTGTTCTTCTTCAGTCCATGGAATTCCCTTCTTTCTCTCTTGGTCTGACCTTGATCCTCCTTTGCCTCCATGGCCGGACGTGTCATGAGCCAAGGCTGAAAACCCACCTCCATGACCACAATTCAATCTCTTATCCGAAGCAGAAGCTCCAGAAGAAGCACGAGCAGCAGTGTCCTTACTGGATGAGGTAGCTTCCTCTGCTGCTGCATAGTTAGGCAGAGGTGTATGTCCAGCCTCAATTGCACTTACATCATCCACTAGCATTTGGTAGTGTTGCTTCAACTCTTCCATGCTCTTGCTTGGAACCAATTCAGCAATCTTCTCCCACTGCTCTTCTGATTCTTCATCGATCCAATGCATGGCAATTGCGTTCTCAAAAGCTTTGTCTTCCTCTTTGTTCCAAACACTGGCACTTGACATGGTTGTTATTGGTCTTGCTGCTGGAGTGCACGTTTGATTAATCTGCAAATACGGTTCTTCTTTAAAATAAAATAAAAAGACACTTAGCCTAGAGAGTTTGAAGAAAGTGGTGAAAATGCTAACAAGTTGGATTCACTTTCTGTTTAGTGGGTTTGTTTGTATCGGAAAAGAGGAAGAGAGTGAGAAAGAGGAGGGGGGGTGCGTAGGATTAGGAGGGGAGGGGGACAGGAGAGAGAAGGTGTGTGTGTGTGTAGGATAAGGAGAGAGGTTGTCAAATTATCAATTGAGAAAGAGGACCACTTTAGAATTGAAGGGATGGGTTCTTTGTCATCTAGGAAACTCGAGCAAAAAATCTCTCGCTCTCCTCTCTCCTCTCTCTGTCTCTGTATCACTAGCTGCTGGCGAGGAGAGACATTGGCAATCATGGAGGGAGTGAAATTTGGGCACTTTTGGAGGCCCATGGAAATTTTCAAACTAGCAACAGCACACATGCAACCTCACTTCTCATGAACCATGTTGAATATTTATGGCAATTCCAAATTTCTAAACTCGTTACTGTTCCAAAATTATAGTACCTTTTTACAGAAGTCTCATATAAGATAACAATACAAATCCTGCGTTTGCCTTTTGACTTTCAGGTACAACTCCCCCTTTTAAACTTCAAAGTTCCCTATTTAATTAATTTATAATAGTAGCTTGAACTGAAACTGAGAAGAAAAGCAATTCATTTGAAACTCATAGATATGAAAATTGCTTTGGAGCACAACTTTCCTTTTTGTTCAATTCTTTCTTCACTGGGACCCGTGAGTGCAACCCATCAACGATTTACTATTGCACTTGCACAAGAGGTTTTTTTTGGGTAAATAACACAAGAGGTTTTTGTTGCGGCAGCAGAATGAAGTTAAAAAAGTAGTGTGACTTTTTTTTGAAAAGAAATAGGCTGCACTTTTTATTTTCTCTGGTGAATTTGGTAAAAGTTGGTACGCAGAGAAAGATTCTCTGTCTATATCTCCAAGACGTGGCCAATTCTCCATTTCAAGTTCTCGCAAAAATGCGCCCACAGATAATTCCAAGCATGGAAAGCAATATCAAATAAATCTAGAACAGCATTATTGGCAAATTTACTTGCATGATTCAACGCAGCATGTTCTTGTGTTTTCCACTCTCAGACTGTTTCTATATATAACTGTATCAGCATCACAATACATTTGATCATGATTCATCAAATATGTATGGTTCTTTTTCTTTTTAATCTCTGCTAAAAGAATTTGTACGTTTTGAAAGATAGATTGAATTATAGAATAGTTCTTGTTGTGCTTCTTTAAAGCAAGAGAGGGGCTATTTTAGAATAACAACCGCGAAAAAGAGCTATTTTAACTAATTCCACCAAAAAAACTCTCACACTGGCTTATTAGGGTAACGTTTTGTGTAACTTCAGAAGAAAACAAAAGAAATAGTTAGAATATAATTTTTGTGAAATTTAGAATGATACGATTCTGTGGTTTAGGCCAAATATAGCTTTCAATATGGATGAGAATTGAATCTTGTCATAACCATCATATCAGTCATCTTAACCATTCTTCATTGATGAAGGGTTTGTGGCTCTGACAAAAGCCCACTAATCCACTAATCCGCTAATGATGGATGGTTAATAAGATAAATTATATATTCGATTAAAACTTAACTTTAGGCATGCAATTTCCAAGGGGTGATGACATGTTGTTGGGAGTCAACAAATATTTATGTAGTGGAGGAGCAGATGATGAGGACCCAGCATGTGATTTGTGACGACTAAACAAACAAACAATGGAATCTAAGAAATCTTTTAGATTTTAAGGGTAGACAATTATGAACAAATGTCACCTTCAACAGTCAATTCTTGCTCAGTAAATTGACATGTATAATAAACGGGTTACGATTGAATTGTGGTCCTCCAATTTACTACGACTTTTCCTTTCCTCTTTCCCTTTCCCTTTCACAAAGAATCTTTAACCAAAACTTACTGGCCATGCTCAGTCAGAATTCTAATTTACTGTGGTAAAAGAGCTAGATACTTTCTTCAAGCCCTAAGCAGCTGCCCAGCCACCTTCAAGGCCCCCACCATTATTCTCCAATCCAAGGGGTCATTTTCCACAAAGCTGAAATGCCATCTTTGGTCCATCTTCAAAGATAGTGCCGGTGCTTCTCCTCCATATTGGCATTACATGCCTGCCGTGGAAGAAAAGGGCTCAGGTTTTCCTCTTACATATTGGTCATTTGCACCACAAGAAAAGAATTTTAAAAAAACCCTCATATTCGTAAAGGTTTAACAAAATGAAAAAAATTACACACCAAAACAAAACAACTCAGTCTTTCACTTTCTGAAAGGGAGGGGGGCTGAAGTCGATATTGAATTTTATGTGAACTACAAGTGGGCGGCTGTGCCCAGAGTCATTTCTACACAGTAGTAGCTTACACATTGTTTGGAATAAAAGTAATTTGAATCTTCAACTTCCAATAGAAAGTCAAGTACTGAGTTCCCGTGATTTATAAACGACCCAAACTGTATAAAGGTTGAAACGTTGATAAATCATCTCGAGTGTACTTGGAAACGGATGACTCATTCATTTGACAATACTTTGATTCTCGCACATCTGTTTTTATAAAGGAAGAAAGCAAGTTACAAAGAAAGGAAATGGAAAGCTTTAGACATAACCAGCAAGCAAATAAGCACCAAGCATAGATCAATTACCTGGTAGAAAAATGGATCTCGAAGTCGGAGGAGTAATCTCAGACCAGAAACAAAAGGAAGCTACAAAATAATCACAAGTGCCATCCTTTAACAGCACAAGAAGATTGTTGATATCAGAGGCAACTGATTCCCAGTCATTTTTGCACACTACCTTGGTGAAGTTGTTGACACAACCCCAATTTGTATAAGCGGGCGCCCAGGAAGTTTTGTATGTTCGGGAGCTCCTTTTAGAAGAGCTGCCCTTTGTGGATTGAAAAGTAGAAGTTGCTGCATGTCCTTGGGAAGTACATCGAAAACTGCCTGCAGATCTCCCTTTAGTTTTTGGCAAGTTGCACCAGAGTCTGTAGAAGCCCTTCCAGATTGGTCCAGCTGAGAATTGAATAATATTGGAAAAATCAATATAATACAACTTTCTTCATCTACTTAACATCCATAGACCCCAAAAAAAAAACCTGAAAAATTAGCATTTCAGTTGAAATTAAGTTCTATTCTACTACGCCTTCTGCTTTGGGTACAGGATGTAAAGTATCTTGATGTTATTCTGTTTTGGGTACTCTTCATTTCTCACTGCTATTAAAAGCTTACATGTACAACAGGACTCTTGCACCAGATTTTCCTGGGAGAAGCATTGTTAGATAGAATTTTCTCTGATATAATGCTATTGCTACTTGTGTTGCATCCATTAAATTTGATGTCACTGCCACTAAAAATATAACTTTGTTGCTACTTCTGTGGTCACTAAATGGCAAGGGAAATAGATTCACAGGGATAAATGGTCCAAATATCAGGGCACAAAACAGACGCATTAAGGATAGGGTTAGTCAGTGATGTCCTGATCATTCTTGCTTCGAGTTTACACCAGTCTTACGCAGTTACATCTGCAGGAGATATACCACTATCCAGTCAAAACATCATTGAAAGTGTAAACCAATCCCACACCAAAATTCTCCCATGACCAGATTCCTACAAGAGATACCGTGTGACAAAATAAATAACATCTAGTAGCCTTGTCGACCAAACATCCGGGAACACTTGAACCATTCCACCTTTTGACCTCTCTTGTAAAGATATCAGTCATCTTAGTAAGTTAAAATAAATCTGACATTTATCCTAAAAGTGGTTCCAGATGGACCATCACTAAGATATTAGCAGATATAGCATGCTTTATCCTGAATACTTTTTTGTTTTGGGCGGAAGGTGCATTGATAGAAGATACCATACTTTGTGCGGACATTACCTGTATTTCTTCAAGAATATGTCTCTCAATAGCATTGAAGGAATCAACAATTTCTAGTTCAGACATTTTAGATATTAACTGTTGTATGTCAGTCTTCATTCTCGCCTGCCTCCACAGTCTATGTTGTTCCTGTTCAGCAACGGCACGCCTTCTTTGAAACCATGGTGTAAAGTTTGGCCCTTCTAGAAATCGCCTAAACAAACAGGAAACACAAACTGATGGTTACCATAGGTAAAGATAACCCAGAAAAGACACAAGACTGGCAATGGTTGGTTAGGAGTTCTAGTACATGACAATTATGGAATTTAACATTTATTACCGGTATAAGTCCAGCCAATTAGATCTCATTCGCTTTGATACAAACTTCCCAGGTCCTCTTGCTGATAAACTTCCCAGAAATTCATCGGCACTAAAAGGAATAAGACGGGGAGGGTCTACAAAAGGAGAAGATCCTTCTGACGGTGTTCTAGTCCTAAAATATGGGCCAAAAGGTGCCAAAAAGTTGGTGGTGAGCTCCAGGAAATGCCGGCGCAATATCTCATTGTTAACAACTGACATTGATTCCTCAACCCTAGGTGACATCCCAGCATCTATTAGCCTATTTAAGATAGAAGTGTCAGGCTTAGTTGTTGCAGAGTAAGTGCTCCAAATGGCTTCCTTATGTTCCGTCATGAGACAAAGAGGACCATCTCTCCTCAACTTCACAGCATTCAATAAATTTGAAGGAGAGAACTTTTTCAAGGAAAGCTGTTGAAAACCAAATCCTTCTGGTCTACCAGAAATTCTTCCAGTAGAGGACCTAGTTGCAAGGGGAAGCCGGTTTGTATTAGGAGCAGGGCTTCCAACTGAAATAACGTGGGGCATATTACGAAGGGATTTAAGGAAAAACAGGTTAGTTACACCCAAAATCATAGGTGGAAAGGTGTCTCCTTCTTGAAGGGAGTTGAGGTGGGCAAATTCAGGGTCATGGATGGTGAAATAAGGTCTAAAATCCACACTGCAAAGTAGAGGTGCAACTAAACTCACAAGACCAGCCACAGCCTCACTGCATTGTGGAGGAGTTGGAGCTATGATAAGCATGGGCTCACCAATAAGTAACAACTCCCACAAAACCCAAAGCTGTAATAACAGACCCCTGAAGATGCCAAATAGATCTGAGTCATGAAAAAGACCCTGTGGGACTGACTGGTTATTAGGAAGAAAAGGAGCCATAGAGGATGCAGACTCTTCAAACAACATTCCATTTTCTGAGGGCAAGCTATGTGCGGGTGGCAAGTTCACTTTCAGTGCAGCATTCCCAATAGGAAGTTCCATAAGCTTACCAGGTACAGGAGAAGGCCACATTGAAACATAAGCAGCGATATGCTCAAGAGCTTTCCTTCCAATGTCAAAATATAGAGGACCCATGATTTGTAACAAAGGTCTAAATACACTAGAGTAAGGACTGTGCGACAAAATCACCACAGACTTCTGCTCCCCACCTCGTTTTAACCTCTCATCATGTCTCTGTCTATTAAAAACATATCCATACATGTATCTTGAATCATGAGAATCGTTGTTACTTTTTGACCTTCTAAGGACTTTTACATCTGGGGACTTGGGAGTTAACTTCTTATCAATTTCAGTCATCTCAGTCGAGGATGCTTCAATTTGAGAACTTCCCCGCCTTCGAAACCGGAAAAAGAATATACAATCATGGATGCTTGAGCGGTTCTGATGCTGGGAAACGGAATCTGGGAATGAACTAAAGGCAACTTCAAGCTCCTCATCTTGTGTAAGACAACCAGGTGGGTAGCACTCTTCAATGAGCTGACCTTGTTCAAGATCGAACCTGATAATACAAAAGGCCACAACCCATTGCTGCAAAGATTCTGGATCAAGCTTTGGACTAAGTTCTGACTTCACTGAAAATGAAGGAGAACGACTCATTTCCAGTAAAATCAAAGCGGGATTTTATTGATTAAAAGGCGACTCCCCATCATCTTTAGCAACCATTTCCACTACAAAATCACTGATGTTTTCATTCGTAGCCTAAAAGGCCAAACCTTCACAGTTGAAGTTTTGTGATTTTCTTCGCTCAAACCTTGCAAAGAGTAAACCAGAGCCTAAAAGTTATATCCCAGAAGAGTTCATTAATTTCCAGATAAGAATCTAACCCAGATAAGGAAATTTGAGTTGGGTGATTACAGTTTTCCTTCAGAATAGTTGAGCATACAACGAAAAACAAAAAGAAGTTGCATTTTCATTTTTTCATCAATTGGGATTCCTAGGCCCGGTTGAATCTAAGTTATCTTATTGCTTACTTCAGGTGAAATTATCACATAACAAAACCAACCATCTATTATTTTCTTCCATTTCCCAGTAACCAAACAGAGCGCCAAGAAAACGCCCAGTGAAATTCTACACAACAATCAGAAATTAATTCAGAAAAAGATCTATGTAAATGGGTTGCTGGAACTTTACCTGAATCAAGAAACCCTGAACCAAATTTTTGCCGAACCAATCTGGATCAGGGAAAGAAAGACACCGAATTCGCCCAAAACAAATGGAACTCGGTCAGAAATCGAAGAACTTGAACAAAGCAGTAGAGATTGTGGACGGGTTGGTGGCCTGAGCGTAATGGCCTCTATGTAAATTGCAGGAATTGGAGGGTGCCTTCGCAGAGCATCCAAATGGTTTTCTTTCTTTTCTTTTTTGGTGTTGCTGAGGCGGAGTATCCAAATTGAACAAGTTCGAACTTTTGATTATTTGTAACAAAATTTCAGGGATTATAATTATAAGATTTTCAGGGTCGCTATCGATTCAGACCGCAATGCGGAAAGTATTTGACGCTTTTGTATCAAAACCCTCATCAGCAATGCCTCATCATCTGTATGTATCTATCTGGTAAATAATTGTATTTACTGTACCGTTTTCCTTTTTGGTCCCTGCGGTGGTGCGGTTACCTCATACATATGCCTGCTATAATTGCTTTTATTTTTCATTTTCATCCTTTCTTCTCTGCTTTAGATGTTTTGTTAAAATCTTTTTCTTTTTTTTTTCTTCTTCTCTGCCGTAGTAGGAGATGGATGAGTTATGCTATTTATTTCTAATTCTACGTAAGGGCTGAGTAACCTAACTCGAGAGCCACGTATCAATCTAATGGGCTTTAGGTGGATAGGCCCAGATTCAGAGACTTATGATTGGTCTGAGGCTGAACCAAGTATTTGTAATGGGCTAGCATAGTATTTCATAGCCGTGCAAATAACTCCCTTAAAGGCCTCTAAACCAAAAAAGAAAAAGAGCTAACGACAAAAGACACCGTGCTAGTTTGGGATGGTTCTCAATATGAATCCAAGAGTATCAATTTTATCAATTTACATTCTTACGTTTGCAACATCATCTAATTTCATCCTTCCGTTAAGTTGATTGTGTGGTCAATCGTTAAATGCTAACGTGTCTATTGTGGGAGCCACTTACTAAACAACCAGTTTTACATGTCTACGTGTTCCAAACACGTAGCTTTCAGTAAATTAAACCTGGGTCAAAATAAAATTCTAATATTCAAAGCATATTTGTCATTTTCTCTTTTGTCACATTTATTTTATTTTATTTACTTTTCGGTCGAAACAGATTTATCCAACTATTTGAAGAATGTGAATACAAATGGATACTTAATCTGTCACGTTATTAATTTCCTTATGGAGAGATGTGAAAGCTGAGAGGGGTTTCCTTCTGTACCTCCAAATACCAATAAAGTGTTTGATGACTTTTCTCAACTTGCTAATAACAATTCTTTATTAAAAATAAGAATAGAAAGAAAAACATTATAAATAAAAAAAACCGTCGGCCAACTAAGAAGAAACATAAGCTCTTTTTATTATTATTAATAACTAATTTCTTGAGACATGCTCAATTGGTCTTTTGACGGTTCTTATTTATTTTAATTAGCTAAATATATGGATATTTAAAACACTAAATTAATCATCAAGGTTTGAGTTTTACTTACCACCTTAATTAATCATGGTTTCAGCTGTAATTACTTTGGAGTGATACTATAACTGACCATATTTCATCTGTTTGTTTTTATAGACATATATGTCTTGGGGGATAATTATTCAATGAATTATATATCACACCAGATTTTTGGTGATCCCAATTGAATTATGAATTATGAATTATGTAATGCTTCTTGGATCGATCGTACGCACGTGATTATGAAATATATATATATATATATATATGGACATACTACTTCTACTTGCAGACATATCCAGCTATTAGTCTCTCATTGTAACTAGTTTTGGTTCATGATTAATTAGTCCCACCATGGTGGTCCTTGTACTATGTATATGTGTCCCATCCCATCCCATCCCATCTTCTTCGTCATTCCCATTTCGAATATTAATTACGCGACTATAATTTGAAATCAGCCTAACTTGCATGATGCCTGAAGCAGCTCCTCCCTCCCTCTTTTAAAATGAAAGCTCTCAGTGAGAAGAATACATCTAGAGATCTTATTAATTAAGCAAGAAAAATGGATGTTGTTGTTTTTGTTGTTTCCCTCTTTTTTTTCAACAACTTGACTATCTATTTCCTCTTCCTCCAACTTACAAGGAAGTTTGTGTGTTTTTTATATGAACCAATAAAAGAGCAATACTATTTTAATTCCTAGTATATATAACACATATATCTAAGTTAAAGTCACCAAATTCGAGGATTAAACTCAATTCCTCAACAGAAATTTGGATCTATATAAACTTTTCTATAAAATAAATGAGACAATGCAACGATAATAAAGAAGTTTTTCTCCTATATTAATTACTTGGATTCAGAATAGTAGACAATCAATCATGTCACCATTTGTCACCAAGCACAGAAAAGTAAATAACATCACAAAGAATTGGAAGAGAGTGCGTTCTCTCTTTTTAGAATGAGTACGTAGGGTTGTAGATGGAAGCACATGCCTATCATCTACCAGTCGAGAATGTGATGTAACAAACCATGCACGCACTCTCCACAGACCTACCACTCAGAGAGTCATGGTAAATATCTTTAGTACATATACTCAAACATTTATTGCAAAGAACCAGATGAGAGACTGAGAGAGGCCACACATCCCATCAAACCCCACCTCCCCTCTTTGCCTATATATATATGTAGCTATATTATTATATATATACAAATATCTGCATGCAAATGCAAAGCAAGCACAGCACCCTATGTTTTAAGTTTTAGAGCTCTGCCTCTGTCTCCCTTCTCTCTCTCTCTCTCTCTCTCTCTCTCGCTCTCTCTTGGCTAGCTGAGAAACAACTCTTTTTTTCGTTTTCTTTGCTGTACAGAACAAATAAAGCAGAAACATAGTTAAGTTGAATTAAACAAGGCAAACAAGTGCGGAACAACTCCAATGGTTTCGGAGGGTGCTAATAGTAATACCCTCATCATTGGGTCAACCGGGTTCATCGGCCGGTTCATTGCAGAAGCTAGCCTTGACTCAGGCCACCCCACCTATCTTCTTGTGCGCCCCGCCTCACCTGGCCTTTCCAAGACCACTCACACTATCGACTCCTTTCAGGACAGAGGAGCTATAATCCTAACGGTACCTTTCTTATATACCTCTCTCTCTTAAAAAATATAAATATATATATATATATATATATATATATATATATGCATGCTTTAACGGTGATGATGATGATGATGCTTTTGATACACATATAAAATGAAGGGCTCCGTTGATGATGAAGATTTCCTGGAGAAAGTGCTCAAGGAGCACAAGATTGAAGTTGTCATATCAGTGGTGGGTGGTGCAAGAATTTTAGACCAGCTTATTTTGCTAGAAGCCATTAAGTCTGCGGGCACTGTTAAGGTAATTAAATTATTATTATTGTTCATGTGCATGCAGTGAAGCATGAAGATGAAGTAATTGATAATAATATTGTGTGACAGAGGTTTTTGCCATCTGAATTTGGGCATGACATAGACAGAGCTGATCCGGAGGAGCCAGGGCTGAGTATGTACAATGAGAAGAGAAGAGTGAGAAGGGCCATTGAGGCAGCTGGAATTCCCTACACTTATATTTGTTGCAACTCTATTGCTGGTTGGCCTTATCATGACAACATTCACCCCGCCGATGTTCTCCCACCCTTGGATCGCTTCCACATCTACGGTGATGGCACTGTTAAAGGTTCTTTTTCGCCCCTTCACTTCACTTATATAATTAACCCACCTGCTGTTATCATCTCAGCCACAGGGTTTTTAAATATAAAATAAAAAAATTTGTTTGCTTGCATTTTTCCAACAACGGAGATGATGTTTTTTCATGTACGGAAAATTTATACTCTTTTAACCAAACAAAAAAATAATTACTCTATTTTTGGGTCCAAAAAGATGCCCCCCGCCCTTTATGGAAACATAATTGAGAGAGACTAGTCAAACTTTTTTGAGTTGCAAGATGGGCCTGTTTGGGAGTGCTTCTGGAAGGGCCAAAAACGCTTTTTGATAATTAAAAGTGCTTCTGACAGCGTTTGGCAGCAAAGTTTAGAAGCGCTTCCTGAAGAAGCACCTGCTATGTGCTTCTTCAGGAAGCACTCCCAAGTGCTTTTCCACGAAGCACTTTAATTTTTTATGAAAATTCAAGATTTTTATAATAAAAGCGCTTTTGTTAGAAGCGCTTATGAGCAGAAGTACTTCCTAGAGAAGCAGTCCCAAACGAGCCCTAAGAAGTAATAAAAGCACTTCCCACTCATATTGTGTCATGACAAAGGGTAAGGTTAAACATTATTTATGTGAATAGTGATTACTCTAGCAATTTTTTGATGCATTCCCACCTATTGCCATCGTAACCCAAGGACAACCACTATTTACACGAGATATGAAGAGATAAATTTATATGAATTTTGGTATGAGAAGTGAAGAACATGGATTTTGGTTTTTTAAAATTATTTTTTTGATATTTAAATTAGTCGTTGACATCAGCATGCCCAGACAAGTGTTTTTCTGGTCTGCCTAGTTTCTTAAGCCCACTTCTTGTCATTCCATGGCAACTTTTCCTTGGTGAGGATTGTTTTTGGAGGCTCAAAGTGCTCTAAGTGGTTTTAATATCACCCCCGTCCATGGTTGGTTGGTTGTTTCCCTTGTTCTTTGGACTTAATTAATTTTTCAGATTCAGAACTTAATTAATTGGTTAAGTGAATGTCACAGCTTACTTCGTGGCGGGTTCCGACATCGGAAAGTTCACGATGAAAACAATCCACGACGTCCGAACAATCAACAAATCTGTTCATTTTCGACCACCAAGCAACCTCTTCAACATCAACCAGCTTGCTTCCTTGTGGGAGCAATGCATTGGACGCAAACTCCCGAGAATCACTATTAGCGAGGACGACCTACTTGCTGCTGCTAAAGGTTCAAATTTAAATTACCATTTGTTTTTCATAATTCATATATAAACAGCAAGTTAATTTAAATTAAACTTGCAGAAATGCAAATCCCACAAAGCATTGTGGCATCCTTCACCCACGACATTTTCATCAAGGGCTGCCAAGTAAATTATGAGATAGAGAAGCCTAGTGACATTGAAGTTTGTTCTCTGTATCCGGACACACCATTTATGACCGTGGATGAGTGCTTCCAAGAGTTTGCCACAAGGGTTGTCGTTGATGTTTCAGAAGCAAAACTAGCTCAAAAGTCGAAGTCATCGACGACCAACGATTTTATCCTCGTGCCAAATGCTAAACCAGAAGTCTTGGCAATTACACCAGCATCTGCATCATGATCAACATTCTTCTTTCTTTATCCTCGTGCCAAATGCTAAACCAGAAGTCTTGGCAATTACACCAGCATCTGCATCATGATCAACATTCTTCTTTCTTTATCCTCGTGCCAAATGCTAAACCAGAAGTCTTGGCAATTACACCAGCATCTGCATCATGATCAACATTCTTCTTTCTTTATCGAGAATGTATCCCTTTTCTTTTTTTCTTCCCTTTTCCATTATTGCAAAATGAATAAATTTGCATGTTTCTTGATCTTGGACTTGAGGAGATCCTCTCTGGCTAGTGAACAAGTCCAAGATTGTGGTAAGGAAACTATTATTTTATATTTCGTGCAGGTAGAGTTTCAAACGAAACTGCATTCAGAGTTGAATTTCTAATCTTGATTCTTACACTTTATGATAATGAGAATTTAATACGGAACTCTCAGACATAAGAGAGAACAATGGCTTCCATCTTTTCTAACACAAAAACAGGGATGGAGTAAAACAAAAGATTGCCCGGAATATTGACGTAAGCTAAACACATAGCACAAGCAAACTTATAACCTGTTATATTTCCCCTTGTATATTTACAATTTTAAAGGTAGAAAAGGAGAGAGAAAAGCTACCCAAATTTAGTCAGAACGACCGCACTTCCTGTATCTCCTACTCCTCGCTTTGCTTTGCTTAGTTAGAACTTACAACAAGTGAAACTCACAATCATGGAGGTTACAGTAAATTTTGTATTAAAACATGTTGTGAATCAGGTTGCTGTCCAGCTCTATGTACCCCAATTCCATGTAATACAAAAACTGAAGTGGGGTAAATTAAAGCCTAAACATCATACACAGGTAAGCGCTCCTCAATACAAACACGGCATATTGGGCATTTTTTACACTTGTCACAGCAGGTACTGCACAATAATTGCAAAGTAATGAGCATGAGTTCAAAATCACATGTGAAAAGTTTATAAGCATAAGAGTAATGTGATAGTACCTGCAAAGGACGCGATGCCTACATGGTAGTAGGACCACGCTGATCTCTCCCTCGAAGCAAACGCGACATAACACTTTTTCCTGGCCAGTAGTATCAGAGAAAATTTCAATCACAATCGAAATCTCCAGTTTCTGAAAATGAAATCACGCACATGCACATACGCAAGCACCTAGGCTAGCTGTTATAAACTGAGTTGTTATTCGAAAGTAGATGATGACTCTTTGTGGTCAATGTGTTGTTATTTGGATCATATTCACAATACTATACACAGTTAAGGATGAGATAACATTACATTTTGAAGTCTTTCATACTCCTGTTGGCTATATTTGGTAATTTCTGTCTGTTCACCAAGAGCTGCTTGAAGTCTCCAAACCTGATATTTAGATCATAAAAAGAAGAAGACACAAATGAAGATTTACATAACTGCTTGGACGAAACAGAAACAAGAACAAGACTGTAAAACTCACAAGTATAATATTAAGTTATTAACATAAAGGAGGAAGAGAGGAAAAAAAAAACAGGCAATATATATGCACAAATCATGACATTTAAAAAAAAAAAATTGGGCTGGTACAAATCATAACTCTAGCCAAAAACAACAAATGAATTCACATAATCATGATCACCTCCTCAGTGAGATCCTTTTTAGGCATTTTCTTCACGATCTCAGGTGGATAGCCACAGAAAGTGTTGTATCTGCATTTCAGGACCCAAGTATACAAAGATTAGAAAAGCTTCTACATTTATAAAGTTTTATGAATTTGATAAATAACCTATAAGATACAATGCATCCAACACTATATCACCAAATGACATAGCTAGGAGGGGACTTCTGCTGTTCCAACTGGGTTTTTAGATGCTTTTAGTTAAGATTAATCTACAAATAGCAGACTTCTCATTACATAAGTCATATGTATAAAAAAGGCACTGGACCCATAGATATCTAAATAATCGTGCTGATATGAATAAGCAACAGGTCAGCCGTCAATATAGAAAGTGCATAACACTTTTCTTGAGATTGATTTGCCAAAATCTGTCCAAAGGAACAATAAGTTGACAAGAATTGTTTTTTTTGTTTTTTTTTTTTTCCCGGTCTGAACCACGAGGTGGTCCTGGATGGGCCCAGTAATTTCTTTTTTTTTCTTTTTTTTTTTTTGGTGAAAATAATTTCTTTTATTTCCTTTAATAAGAAAAAGACATTGAATACCAAAAAAATGACATTAATCGCTACTATGGCACCTCATGAAAAACAATACTAAGGAAAACAAGGAGAATAAAAGCAACACTAAGTACTAACCCTGAAGCCCCCTCATGAAATAATCGGGCATGTTCCTCGCGACTTCCTTCATCTATTGACCACCAGCCCAGTAGCCTGCACCAAAAAGATTGTCAAGTTAAGATACCTATTATTTGCACCACGTTTACTACTTACATAAATCCAATATGTTGACAATCTTAATCAAGATACTTCCAGAAAAGGTAAGAGCGTTGCCCACACCAGAACAAAGAACTGTGGATTAATAAAAACAAAACACAAATTTGCTACCTGGAACCATGGTGCAAAAACCCAAAGCAGTCGTGAGCCTTGGAAGAAATTCTAAAATATATTCCGGTGCCAGCCCCACTACGCAGCAAAAGTACAATTTTCTCCACCAACCTACATGCAGAAAATAGTACACCGGCACCTTGGAGTAAAAAAAGAGGAGAGAAGAGAACTGGAAGTGGGATATGCCTAGCATTTGCTGGGGTTCCCTGAAATTTGAAATTACAGGTCAGTTGACAAGATGCCCCAAATAGCAGCCATGATGACCCCCAAACCAAGAACATAACATACCTCAAGGCGCATACAAAGGAGAACTTGAAAACCAATCACAGGAATTTTCATAAGATGCCCACCAATATCTTGCAGACCACACATTCTATCTCGATGTTGATCCTCTTCTGCTGAAACTATTAAACCACTATTCCAGTCAAGATATCTGATTGTTGTAGAAGATGAAGTAGCTTCTCTTGTGCGAGAATTTCTATGAATCACTGGATTAGACCATTTTGTACAGACAAGAAAGGAAAAGCACTCTGCAATTCTGTGAAATTTATGCAATTAAGTTAGTCACCCGAAAAAGGAATGAAATTTTCAGGTCACAATGTTCAAGCAAGCTCTGGAAAAACATAGCTGTTGAATAGGAAATATAGGTACAAGGTGCACAGAAACTGTACCCAAAATTTATAAATAAATCCCACCAACCAAGAGCACCTACTTCACCTGCACGTTTTATATAAGCAAGATCTTAATCAGCAAACATTAAACAGAAATTGTGACTCTCTCTCTGTCCCTTTCCCTATACATCAATACATATATAGGGAGAATTCTATATGTATCTATGTACACATAAGATGAGTAACAAGAATTCGAATGCATCTTTTAATGTTACATTTGACTACATGGGATAAGAGAAATTACCGCATAACTTAAGCAGGGTGAAGATTGTAGCAGCAACAAAGAAAACCATGGAGATTGCTACCCAGAAATGCTACAAGCAATAAATTGGCGAACCATTAACAGTGCTTTCCAAAATTGACTTTCTTAAAATATGTAAAACAAATGTTAAGTTAATAAGAAAGCAAGCCTGGACGGAATTTCAAAATGCACTTAAAAGATTAACATTAAAACATATACTCAATACTAGAAATCTACCTAATATGCAAAGTTATTTTACCGTTCCAGCTGAAAGTTAAAGACAACACAAATAGACATGCCATAATCATTACTATGTTGTATAATATTCTTTGCACATTAATAATGATACCAAATAGATTATGCATTCTAATTGTTCTTACATGAGAAGACTTCTTCAAGGAATTTACATATCCTTGAACACTTTTTAAAACATAACATAATTTATATCAAAACCTTAGATTTTATCACTTTAGAATTCATGTGATATGAACAGGATTTGCCAACCCTTGGACAGTTTATGAACTAATGAAATGAAACTTACTGGAAGTGTCTCCCATATTGCCTCATCATTCATGCTTTCATCATCCCCTGGCATTAGAGCCCTACACATTCTGTTAAAGAAATGAATGTAAATTAAAATCACCAAAATAGACCCATGGAACTAGAGCACTTCTGGGGGAAAAAGTAACAAGAAGGGAGGGTATGGTTACGAGAATACATCGCATTCTTAGTTGTATCTAGCAACAGTAATCTATACTGAAAGATGAGATGCAAAATAATAAATGTCAAAGGAGATACCTGAAATTGTCAATTAGAATAATTATTTCGAATGCCAGTAAGGGAAGAAAGACAACCTTCAAGTTGACAGCTGCAAAACCGTGAACTGCACAAAAGATAATTAATCAGGTCTTACAATAGGACTCAGGCCAAATCCTTCTATTAACAAGGAACTCTTTTTTAAGCCATACTGAGTCAGCACAGAGTTCAGAGTTTGATGCATAAAAAACACTTTAAAACTTCATTCAGTTCTACATCTTCTGCATGCATATCCCACACATGAAAAGTTTGTGTGAGTCCTCAAAATTATCTTTTTAAGAAGAAAAAAAAAAATTACAGGAGTTCGGTGCATACCATAAATGCTTTCAAGATATATACAAAGGAGCAACTCAAATGCAATAAGCAATGGTGTGGCCACAACAGCATGACATGGTGCCCACTGTCCAAGAGAGAAAATCTTAGTGGTGCATATTCACTATTCCAGATAATAAATATTAGTCTCTTATATTCAAACCAACATAGAGTATCAGTGATAGAGTAGTGGAAATAATCTCCAGAATTGACAAGAAGCGTGATGACATACATGACGACTGTGTGGAACTGATGGAGCAGGTAATGAGAATCTTCCTCGGGCAACAACAGCATGAAATATCCAAAGTGGAAAGAAAATTATCCTGCAAACAAAAGCTATTTTCCATCACATCAATTTATTTGATGGACTCACCATAGAGCTCGCATTTCAAAAACTACAATCCTTGTCAACATGAGAGTTTGATCTAATCAAAAGAAATACTGACATACTAATGAAGTTTAAAGATAAATGCCCTTGATTTGTGGTTTCTAACTAGTATATGCATATAATTGAAAGTCACCTATTCCCTATCAAAAAAAAATTCACAACAAAACTCTTTAACCCTCTCACTCTTGAAGGCGATATCTTCAAAGAGATACCAATACCACTATCTGTTGGAAGACCGTTTTCAAATGTACGCAGCACACAAAATGGGCCATGGGTGATATGGCCATTGGCATCAAAGAGTTCTTACCAAACGGTTGGTATACTATTTAAATGCATAATGAAAAGAATTACACGACAATAGCTAATCATATCTAACAAGAATAATTTCGAATCAACTTGGTAGTAAAGGACCCTCCCTGTTCCTAAATTTGTACTGCATATGACATCAGGGGACTCATTTCCCAATCTATAAGCAAAGCAACGCTTTTTTTTTTTTTTCCATCGTAAATGCAATCATACGTAATCTTTCTCTCTTATCTTACACCAGCTGCCATTTTGCCACCCTATTACATAGTTTCCAATTTCATTTTGTAACCCAATAGAAGAAAATTCCGGACTTCTTTTCTTTTCTTCTTAAAGACAACTAGACACTGTTCACATACAACCCAATTTTCTATGAAGCCAAACAAAATCTGTAATCTGCATCACCAATTCAATAGATTCCCAAACTTTCCCAACTTACATCTCCCAAAAAATTAGAAAAATTAATTCATAACCAAAACCTCAGTCTCAGCCCCAAAAAAAACCTCAACCCCACTCTAAAAGAAGGATATTACATTCAAATTAAGATGCAATTGCAAGACTATGCATGCACATATATCAGAAAAATCAGAGCTCAAAATATAAAATAGAAGAGAGAGAGAGAGAGAGAGAGAGAGAGAGAGAGAGAGAGTTCAATAAACAGACCACCAAGAGTAGGAGGTGACATGGTCGAGCTTGAGAACGAGCAAGAGCGTGAAGGTGAAGAGGAGGCTGTGGGCTGCTAAGGCCTGTACGGACTTCAACACTCTCCGCCAGTTCATCATCAACGGAAACGATGTCGTTCTTCTTTTCTCTCTATCTCTAACCTATCTCTCATATATATGTATATATACACACGCACGTAATATGGAAACCCCAATCACTGTCTGTCTGTCTGTCTGGGTTCGCTTTCTCCTGGAGCTGGGATGAGATTATGAGGACAATTGGATTTGAGAAAGAGGTTGATGTTTCAGTGGGCGGGCGCCATTGAAAGGAAAGGGGAAGAAAATATTCTCTCTCTTGTTTCGCTCGCTCTTTCCTCTCTTTTCTTTTCTTCTCTTCTATTTCATGAATAAAAAACAAATCGCATTTACTCTCTCTCTCTATCTCTGTGTTCCTTTTGGCCGTTTGCTTGCTTCCACACCACGGCAAAGTAACGCCACTGTTGCCTCAGTCTGCTCTTTTTGATCTGGGCACCCACCTGGGCTCTATTTTATTTTCCGAAATTATGTGGCGAAATGCCTATTTTACCCTGTAATTTCGGATGCATGTTTATAGCTTCCAGTGCCACCACCATATCCATTATCCATACGCGGAGGGAGGACCTACTGAATAAAGGAAAAAAGAATAAAAAAAGGTAAAAAAATAATATTGTAAAGGCTTGACAGGATTCTTAAAATTAAATGGTCTTCTAACGTTTATTAATGATCAATCTGACGTTCGGATTTGGTAAATTTCTTTCCTTTTTCTTTTTTGCTCAGGGGATTTTGTTATGAATCTTAAAAGATTTACATATATTTATCAATTTTGATTTAACTTCAAAAGCATACATCAATATATAATCAATAGTCATTTTCAAAATGAAAAATGAAAAAGATACATGGAACAATTAGGGGATTTAGACACCAATCCAAGATCCTTGTCCATAATGATGATTTCCTTTTTTAAATATTATCAAGAAGTAATAGTAAATAAATTCTTAAATATTATTAAAAAAAAAGATATTTTAAAAAACCGATTAAAAAAAAGAGGGGAAAGTGACCAACATGAAAAAACTAGTTTAGCGTGACAGCACCAAGCACGTATGTTAATGAACTGCCCAATCGTAACAGGCAACGTGTGGAGATATAAAAGTTGAGAATTTGCTTTGAAAAAGGTAGTTGTCGTGCTCAAAAGTTACAGGCTGTCAGACGATGAGCAATGGATAAGCAAGCAAGAGATGAGTCGGACAACATTGATGCTTGTCTTGTACCTTATAAATAATATTTGGGTAATTTTATATGAACCCCATTTTTTGCTCTTTACACCCCTCAATTTTTATACACCTCACTAAATTTTAAAAAAATTTCGAATTACTCACTATACCCCTTTTTTTTTTCTTCCTAAAATGCCTTCATGAACCCCATTCCCTAACTCTCTTTGTAAACCCCATCCCATATCAGACCATCCCCATCGAAAATTCTCTTTCTCTTCAGATACACCCCATCTAATATCAAACCCCACCCCATCCCATATCAAGCCCCACCCCATCGAAACTTCCTTCTTCTTGCAGACACACCCCATCAAAAATTCTCTTCTCTTTGAAACCGACCCATCGCACCCAATCTCTGCAAACCAGCAATCTAGATTGCATCTCTGCAAACCACTCTGTCAAGTTTCCACAAATCCTTCGAAGATTCAAGATATGATTTCAATTTTGATTTCTATATTTACGTTTCTAAGTGTTGATGAAGCCTATGTTTGATTTTGATTTCACAGAATCTGATTTTGAACTCTGGTTGTATGGTTCGTTCGAACCTGGTTTTATGAAATGAGATTTTACTTTCGGTGGGTTGCCACCGAACTCGTTACCTTTTTTCGGTGGTAGTCCACCGAATTTATTTATATTTTTCAGGTGATATGTCACATCCCGGATCGGCTCCGCCGTAGCACGATATTGTCCGCTTTGGGCCCCCCCTCTCTGGCCCTCACGATTTTGTTTCTAGGAGCTCACTACCAACTTCCCAGTAGGTCATCCATCCTGGGATTGCTCTGGCCCCTAACTCGCTTAACTTCGGAGTTCCTACGACTCCGAAGCCAGTGAGCTCCCAAAAGGCCTCGTGCTATATGGATGCGGGTGTGTACATATAAGGCACATCACCTACTCTTCGTTGGACGATGTGGGATCTCACAATCCACCCCCCTTAAGGGCCCGACGTCCTCGTCGGCACACTCGCACCACACGGCAGAGTGGCTCTGATACAAAATTGTCACATCCCGGATCGGCTTCGCCGTAGCACGATATTGTCCGCTTTGGGCCCCCCCTCTCTAGCCCTCACGGTTTTGTTTCTAGGAGCTCACTACCAAGTTCCCAATGGGTCACCCATCCTGGGATTGCTCTGGCTCCTAACTCGCTTAATTTCGGTGTTCCTACGACTCCGAAGTCAGTGAGCTCCCAAAAGGCCTCGTGCTATATGGATACGGGTGTGTACATATAAGGCACATCACCCACTCTCCGTTGGTCGATGTGGGATCTCACATGATACTCACTGAATGTAATTCAATTTTTCAGTAGTACTCTACCGAATATGTTTTCTTTTTTCAGTGATAGTCCACTGAAGTTGTTTCCGTTTTTCAGTGATCATATACCGAATCCGTTACTGAGTGTGTACTTAATACTGTTTTTTTAGATATGAAGAGGACTCGCAGAGGTACTATTGAGGCTTCATCATCTCGACCTGATAGACAACGTCCTACAGCTTCAACGAGGAGACAGAGAGCAGCTCCCCAAGATCACTTTGAGGATACTATATAGGTTGAAGATGTAGCTGCTACTCATGATAGTAATGTTGAGGTACATGTTGAGCCTACTGAGCCTACTAAGCCATCTCGAGTAAGTCCCATTTATCCATGTTTACTTACGAGTTTTAAAACTCACGTAGCAGCTGCAATTTGGAATAACCAAGTAAGTCATTTTACTGTGACAATAGAACGTAGAATATAAGTCTGGTTCATGGTAATTAACGTGGGTTTTTTTTGTATTTAATTAGGAACATGAGCCTCTTAGGTGCATGTCGAAGACATCTACCATTCGTGAGTGGAATTGGTGGGGTAATCCAAATAATGGTATATTCAAAGGGTACCCTTCGTTTATGTTCCCGAATACACTTCTTAAAAACAGAAGACATATCATGTAGTTGCTGCAACAAATCCTTGCGTACCCTACGCCATTCATTATTACCAAATCTCATTGACATAGCTATGGTTCTATATCCACAGTTACCATCCGGAAGAACTTCAGTCTGGTGAGTAATATATTTCTTAATACCCTCAGGGAATTTCTTTATATGCATATATGTATCGAACGCTGATTGGTTTTCGCGAGGCTTATAGAGCTGAAAATAAAACAATATATTACTTATGTGGTAATAACACATTGTAAAATACAACATTTGTAGTACATACCTTAAATTTTTTTGGATTAGACAATATGGAACTAGAAGTAACCATGTTTCTTTTCTTTGGCACTGTAGTGGTACTCTTCTTCGGTTTTATTTTTAGTGAGGCAGTGAGGCTTTACTTTGGTTTATTTTTAGATAGAGCAGTGAAGGCCTCAGCAATCTCAAATGCAGATGGCAAACGACGAGTAGAAGTGTCGACTTTTCGCGGTCTCCCTTTGGTCTTCAACTTATCTTTTGGTTCAGTAAGTGCAGTAGAACTAGTGTTCATTAGCTCCTCTAGTGTCATGTGGACTTGTCTCTTCTTTTCATCATCTTGTTATTCATACCACATATTGAATCTTTGTAATTGTGACCTTCCTGGTGAAGTTTTGCCATGACTACTGTTTCGTATATTGATGAGATCTAATTTCCTCCAATGTGAATGCACAACATCAAGTGGAATTGATACACCACGATCTTTATACTCCGCAATTTCATGTGCACATGGTAATTGGTGGGTTCGACGAATAGCACAGCCACATGATAAAGTATCCACCCCATCTATCTCTAACCTGTTTGCAAAAAAATTACAATGTTAACTATATAAACCATATATGTACATGCAATAAGTAAACTGAATTTACATTTCTAACTTGCACACAATTACACTCAAAGCCTTTATATGTACATGCAATAAGTAACTATTGTAACTATATTGTTTTCATAATTGAAACATTCATTGCATCTCTATCCTTCAGGGTGACCAAAATATCTCTAGGTTTCACTAAACTCTTATACATATCCACCAACAAGGCATTCTCCTCTTGAGAAAGTCGCCCCACAAATGAATGACCTTGAAGATACTCTGAAATAGGATGGTTGTGTACTCCACAAACCACTTCCAACTTCCAATCACCCCTATCGCCAATATTGACACCTTTTAACAAGAATGGGCATCCACATTTCTTGGTACCAGTGTTCCTAGCACATTTGTTCATATCACTATTTGCATTCGACCTTATATCAATTGTCTCACTAGACTTGCAAGACTTATAGTTACCGCTCCTCTCACAAGCAAGTATTACTCGAGGTCTTCTCTTACCCTCACCTCCATAATCAGACCTTTTAATTACAATGACAATATTATTCATTTTTCCTTGTGCACGAGCCCATCTAAGTAATGCATCTCTACCATTGAATATCTACACATAAAACTCATGTTATTTAAATAGAAAATTTGAAACATTAATGCCACATTAATGATACTAAAAATGATTTCAAACAAAAAAAAAACTCAAAATAATTACCGAATAAGTTGTGAATTGATCACTATAGTCCATTACACATTCTGTTCCCACATTGTTGCCTTCAGTAGGGGCGTCACCTTATTTTTGTTCCTTCAATGGCAGTAAGATCAAAATAGCTTACATTAAATTTGTGGTCGACAATAAATTACTGAAAAAATAAATCAATTTCGGTTTGTTGCCATTGAAACGTATGTAAAATTTCAGTAATAAACCACTGAACAACATTTCATATTATAGTGGATCTCCACCGAATATTAAGTTGATGATCGGTCAAACACGACCGAATTAGGTGCAAAGTTTCAGTGGCATCCCATTGAATTTACCTATCGCGTTTGGTACTGATGTTCTGAACGCAACCAGCGACCAACCCTAAACCCTAAACTTGCAAAACGCCAAAAAATAAACTCATACCTCATTCGAAGCCTCTCTAACTTCAATCTTACCCTTCATGAATAAATGCAAGATATTTTTTCACTAATATAAACATATAAATCTCGTTAGAGTTGTAGGAACACGATGGTTTGAGAAAAAAGTCAAACTAGGATTGTATGAACATATGTGGGGTGTAGTGAGTAATTTAATTTTTAATTTTTAATTTTTTTATCCTTAACGGTAATTATGTACAAGGGTAAAATAAGTTATTTATGTTTAAATTTATTATGGGGTGTAAAGAGCAAAAAATAAGGTGCCAATAGAATTTCCCATAATATTTTAATATAATGGCTGGCTGGCTAGGCCTACTGCCCAGGAGATCCAAGAACTTGACACTTGGATTATTCTCAGGCCGTGGGCTGTTAGTTTTATCAGTTAAATATACACGTTTTTGCAGTTACTAAGGCCCAAGGCCCACAAGCTATCTGTATCATATTTTAAATTTTTTATTTATAAAACCTGAGGGCAATAATCTAATTAATGTAACATTTAAAAAAAAAAAATTAACCTTCACATTAGTAGTAGGGTCAGAAAAGATGATCCTTCCTATAACATTTCTAGGAGTATAATTGATCAAACTCTTATACCATAATAACTGTTTTTTTTAATTTATATAAAAAAGGCTTATTTAGCTACATGCCCGCTGTGCTTTTCAACTTGTCTTAGATTACCACCTGTGTTTGCAAACGTCTCAAAATACCCCCCAATGTTTAAAAAAGGGTCTCAACTTACCCATTCCGTCAGTATTTTTGACGTTCCGTTACAAGCTTTGGGCCCCACTTCGTTTTAATCTTTAACCTCTTCGAATTAGGATTTTTCACTTTCAGAGAGGAGGAAATTGGGTATTTGGGTGAGAAGGGGAGATTTGGAGAAGGCTAGGGCTTTTGCAAAATCTGAGGTGGGGTTCGAATTTTGGAGAATCTGGAGAAGTTGCAGCCCATTAAGCTCGACATATTCTCAAATGTGCTGGGAATGTCTAGAATCAACCCCCCTCTCTCTCTTCCTCTTTCCTCACCTCCACTCTCCACCTCCCTCGTATTTCTCTCTTCCTCCTGGCGTCGACTGGATCTGGCTATCGGTGACGACTTCAAGTGGAGGTGGCACACTGTCATCGCAACCCCAATGAATTGGACTGAAGAAAAAAAAGGGCTTGCTCAACTTACTGCCAGCATTCCCAGGCATTTGTACCTCCTCTTTCTTCTTCTCAGTTGGCTTCCCCATTGATATTTCAAGAATATGCAGCCAAAGAAGAAGAGCCCAAAACCAAGGAGAAAGAAAAAAAAATATCCCAAAAAAATCAGAGGAAGAGATGCAACCAAAGAAGAAGAGCCCAAAACCAAGAGATGATATGAGGAGAGAGATGGAGAAAGAGAAACAGAGGAAGAGAGGGGGGTTGATTCTGGAGTTAAAACGAAGTGGGGCCCAAAGTTTGTAACAGAACGTCAAAAATACTGACGGAACGGGTAACGTGAGACCATTTTTTAAAGGTTGGGGGGTACTTTGAGACGTTTTAAAACCCGGGTGGTAATCTGAGACAAGTTGCAAAGCACAGGGGGCATGTAGCTAAATAAGCCTAAAAAAAATAACCGAATATATACGGGTGTTCTTTCATTGAGAAACCAAGCGTGCAAAAGATACACCAATATCAGTTGCATTTCAGACTTGATACAGGCACAAAATTGTGGGGGGCACTGCACTGAAACACAACTCATTTACAAATACGAGCTTTACATACATCTCAAAACATAAATTACCCCACAAAATCTGAAGGACCACTAGAAAAATTGCTGGAGCCAGTGGGAATTTACTGAATCCTTTTGCAAGTCATCCTTCATCTTGCTAACCTTTTGCAAAGCCTCCTTTAAATCCATTGTTTCCAATGGCAAATTAGAAAACTCCTTTAGAAATTCGTGTGCCCGAGCGGCTCCTCTAGACATATCATCAGAGTCATACTCTCTCTTGCGCTTGGATCCAACCTGTATGTAAATCATGATTTTAGAACCAGACCATACCTTCCAACCTAGCCAGTACACTTGACAATAATATGGCACTTATTATACATCCATGCCAACTTGCTTAAAATATGGATTTATGTTAGAAGACTTTGTGGGATATGATAGCTTTTTGGGAAATCCTAACCAAAAAGTACTGAAATAGCATAAGATTATTATAGGTGGCTAAGCCTAGATGTTTTTGGTGCTGTGATCAATGTATCAATCCAACACTAGTCCTATTGGCATTGCATGCATACGAAGTTCAGTGACATGAATGTATACAAGACTTGAACAGCCAGGGTGAGGCAACACAAGAAGTTATAGCCTTGCTATTAACATTAAAGAAATCTAGAGATCACCTCTTCGCTAGCATCACTTGGAATAACTGCAGTAGCTGAAAAATCCTCCAATTCAGCAGCCTTCTCTCTAGCAAGGGAAACAACACTTTCAGGAAAGTTTGCGAATTCTGCAACCTGAATACCAAAACTTTGATCACAAGCCCCTGGCTCAACCTGGAAAGTACGATCACATCAAGAAAATGAGTGGGTTCAGTTTTTCTCAACCAAGATGCATGCACTAGCATAAAACTGAAAGGGGAGATAGAAGCAACATTATAGAACTTAATCCCACACATAAGTTCCATGATATCTGCCTCCAAAATCTACTACTTGTGATCCTGGAAAAGACAACATTAATAACTTGGACAATAACTAGATAATTCATCTACCTTGTACAGCATAGTCAACTTGTGGCTTGATGAGTCAATATGTGCACTAACATGATAGTTTGCTACACCAACAATTTGCTTCATATTGGCCTCATGAACACCATTTTCATGAGCTAATGCAGTCAATTCATGAAAATGGGTTGCGAACAAGGTAGGTGCTTTAATCACTTCAACAAGGTGCTCACAAATGGCCCAAGCTAAACCTGAGGACCATAATAAATATTGATAAGACAAAGCTGTAAACCTTTATATTAAGTATCTAAATTTAATGGCACGTACACTAGTAAGACCAAAAAGAACAACTAGATCATCATATTCTTCAACGCATGCAAATCCTACAGACTACACATCTTATTATAAAACCTCAAATTGATTGAATCCTGCAACCCCATGGCAACAAATTTCTCAAAGAAAATGCATGCCATTCAGAACAAACACAAGCATCAAAATATCATGTATCTTTTTATTTGTAAATAATTATCATCAGAAAGCAGTACAGGGATGCAACCTGTGTACACAAGTAGCATTGAAATACGAAAGTAGTAATAAAAAACCTGAAGAACTAATAATATTAGAAAACTAAGAAAGAAGTACAAAGAAAAGGTTTAAGAGTTAAACCAATACACCATTGATTGTTACCGATACATTAAAAAAAAGGTTAAAGAGTTAAACCAACCGAATCCATCATAAGTCGATGTCCCTCGGCCTAACTCGTCGATGATTATAAGTGACTTATCTGTAGCTCCTTTCAGTATAGATGCAGTCTCAAGCATTTCTTGCATGAAGGTAGAAACTCCGCGTAGCTAAAAAGAAGGAACATACAATTAAATTTCCACAACAGGACAACAAAAGGCTTTAGACTCCTGTTTACAAGGCAATCAACATATAGTTTCGAAGCAGTAGTATAACTTGTACAAGATATTGCACAACAACAGAACACTTGCCAGACAACAGATTCAA